TAATAATAATATCAATAATAATAATTATTCCCATTATTTTATTCTACCGAATTAATAATTAAAGAGCGCTCAATACGGACGTCGTCGCACGCGGTTGTCGGCACGCGATAAAGCCGTCGCAGCGCGATGTAACGCGATACCATGCGAATAAGGATGGATGGATGGAAGGAAGCGAAGAATACTGAGTGCGAATACTCTGATATACACTCTTTCATTATTTTTCATTTACAATTCTTGTTTGCTCCATTATCATTAACATCATCAGTATCATCATCCACAAATTTACGCTTTCTTGTTTCCCCACTCATTTTATTACCTAAAATACATGCATCCTCCTGAATAGGCTGAACCGCACTTATTAATTCCTCAACTAGCCTACGGCTGTTTCCAATTTCATCCAAAATTTTCTTACTGAAACAGTTAAGAAATTACTATAAGAACAATACAATAAATGTGAATTAAATGATCGCGATAATTATTATACTGCCAACCATTTCTCCAGAAGATGAGTCTTATTTTTAATGGTGAACTTCACACTGAATGAATCTGGAGTATTGTTGTCCACTTTTTCAACAGCATCCCGGATAGTAGATAAATTATCAAATAATAATGCTGTACTTTCAGACAAAATGTCGGCACTCAACCGAATGAATTCTCCAACATCCAATAACTCAACGATGTTATCCATTTTGTTCCACAAACTAACTATTATAAGTGAACTAGGAATTAACTTATGTACAAACTGACTCACTGACTGACAGACTGACTGACCGCGAGGGCTGTGCGTTGAATTTATACTAAAGATGTACGTGACAATATGACATCATTATTCACCCAAAGTATCTCCATGCAAAAGTGCAATGCCTCGGCTAAAGATATATTATCTTAATCAAAAGTATACCTCAGCTAAAAAGTATACCTCAGCTAAAAGTATACCTCAGCTAAAAAGTATACGAGAAGATATCGCGCTCAAACGATTCCATACAAAAAAAAACCTTCAGCATTTTTTATTCATTGCAGCATTTGAAGCACATATTATGCGTATATTAAACAGCTATCGAACAGCTATTGAACAGCTATTGAACAGCTATTGAACGGCTATTGAACTGCTATCGGTTCACTGAAAACAGCTATCAGACAGCTATCGGTACACTGTAAACATCTATTGAACAGCTATTGAACGGCTATCGGTACACTGTAAACAGCTATCGAACGGCTATCGAACGGCTATCGAACGGCTATCGAACGGCTATCAAACAGCTATCGAACAGCTATCGAACAGCTATCGAACAGCTTTCAAACCAATATCGGTATACTGTAAACAGCTATCGAACAGCTATTGGTATACTGTAAACAGCTATCGAACAGCTATCGAACAGATATCGAACTGCTATAAACAGCTATCAGACAGATATCAGTACATTGTATACAGTTATCAGTCTAATTTTGACTTATATCTATTATATGGGTAACGGAAATAAAACGTATTTATTTAAAAAATCTTACATTTATTTTAAAAATCTTACAATTATTCCTGGTGTTGCGACCACCAGTTGAATATTTTAAATACATTTTGCAAAGCACAATTCTTAGCGTGTCTTCCACACCGTATTGTATTACAAGCATCTATATTACGTAGGGATTCTACATCTTCGTAATGCGCATCTAGAGTTTCAACGATTGCATTATCGCAATCGAGAATGTTAGCTAGCCATTGCCGTTTTTCAAGTCCTTTTACATATATGAGAGCTTCATCGTCTTCTGTTACAGCCTCTATGATTAGACGTTTCGCCATGCTGTACGGGACCATCCCGTCTTCCCATCGCAAACCATGGTGATAAGCACTTAACCAGGAAGCGCAAGATTTGTCGGATCTTGTCAGTAAATTCCATGGTATAGGACAGGAAAAAATGTAGTGTGTGATAACAGTTCCTCTTCTCAGCACCGCTACTTCCTTGACAATAAATTTCTTGTCCACGACGAATCCTTGTAGATCCACAAACGTTGGTATGATCATGACGAGCATTTATTCGAAACTGCACTCATATCAGTGTTAATCTCTCTTAAATTGAAGATAATTGCTGACGGTGCGATTTACATAATCTTGCGCACTACGTTGGACAGCGGGCAGTATTCGATAACACGATCGTGTATGATGAGGCAATAGGCGGTGGTATTGGCGGGTACATTCTCCTTGCAGTCAAATTCTATTCGTACATCCACGGTAGCGCTCTTGACGGATTCGTTTTGTCGCGAGCAGTCAATGACAGCAAACGGTCCTTTCTCGATAAACGAGAGTACATTGAGCAGCGTTTCGAAGCAGTCGATTCCATAATATGCCTTACGAAAACGCGCGTACATATCAAACAGGAGAGCGTATCTCTTTTGGTCAAAATCGAGATTCAAATCACCGTACGGATAAAACTCTGAATTGAGATAAAGCTTCACATTACTCAATTTACAATCATCAAACACGCTCGCATCTTGAGACATGATATTCTTTCGACCGGTCTGAAGAGCAAAGATAACGTAACGCGGCTTCTCGAGTTGAGTCGCCGTTTTGACAGCCCATGTATGCTTCGTCGTACTCTGTAACAGAGGATACTCGTACAGATCCCATGAGCGAAAACTCATACTGAGATAACGACCGCTTTCCAATGCTCGCAGCATTGATAGTTTAGTGATCTCGTTTAGCATAACATGAGGCATCCGCCATTGCACTTTGATCAGTTCAACCTCCGGCTCCGTCGCTGAATTTCCCAGTATACAATTGTTATCGTTGCGCGCTCGTATCAAAATCAATTCATGGCGAGCGTTAACAATCACGCGTTTGTAATCCTCGCAAAAGCCCAACAGCATGTTGAGCGGTACGCAAAAGTTAAAGTAACCTTCCATTATATCGGATCTAGAATTCCACCCAGCGTTCAACGCAATCAAAGACTTGTCATACGTCAACGATACATAGTTCTTGAGGGTACTGGTAATTCCAACATTTCTGTTGCGATCAATCTCCACACTGTTGAGTTCATACCGAATTTCATCAAACATGAACGCTATGCAATTATTCCCAACCGTTGTAGGCGTCTCATCATCCTTCTTCTTCACAGTCAATCTTCCTTCAATGTAGAGAAAACTTTCGCATGGCAACGTGTATAAATCCTGCTGCTGTATAGGTATTCGTATCTCGTCGCTACGTCCAAACGTTGTATTGGCGTATGGATTGTACGTATGAAATTCAAACTTGACGATGCGATCGTCAAAGATCGGCTCACCGACAATGTTCAAGATATCAGCTTTTCGTACGATAAAACCCAACGACTTTAAAAATGCAACGTTGGAAGCACTGAGTCTTTTTCTAGATGAAATCTCTCCGTTAAAATCTCTCGTCTGTTTCGTCTGTATTGTTATTGGCGCGAATCATCAGCAGAAACTCTTCGTCCTCCTTACGTTTTACACCACGAGAATGTAAAATTTCACGCTCCAAATACCGCTCTATATCCCGCAGTTCGTACGATCCTTCGAGAATCACAATTTCCTCATTGTCGAAATAAAACTTGTTGTTTGTTGAATTTACATTCGGTAGAGTATAATACGTTTCAAAGTCAGTCAGACCGAGCTCGTAATCGCCATCGCTCAAATCTACCGCCGGAAAATAGCTCACAGCTAGAACACTACTTTTGCCCGTCAGCGTAAACGTCAGCGACATGTTTGAACGAATACTGAGTTAAACCGCGCAATGTCAGTCTTTAAATTGTTTATCACTCGTCCGTAGAAACTGTAGACACAACTGTCCACAATTGCTCTGATTGTAACGTTGATAAGGTATGTGATTGTACTGGATTACACAGTTTGTTAGATATCGCTCGAGTTCCTTCGGTGGCCGGAGGTTACCAAAACTGTCGAAATATATGACACGATTCCCCCTTTTCGCGTACGCTACCCAATGCGTACCGGGTCCCTCTGCGTTGTCTAGATTCACGATACCGCTCTCGTTTCGATGTACTCCTTCCACCGGTAATGTCGTACGCATAAAGATACCTCTGAAATACGGAATGCGCATACGTTTTGCAAGTTGTAGCAGTTGCACTTTGGTAGTTACACCCGTTGGTACTTTTAACGTCACATCGACGTTTTTTTTCTTTTCTCTTTACTACACCTCGTCCACGCTTGTAGGGAGCGAGATAAACCCCGTGACCTTCCATGACGCGATTATGACGTTGCATTTCTTCCAGCTGACGCTCCGCTGCTCTGCTATCATTTACAGCCTTGGCGACTCCCGCCGCTCCACCGACCAACGACCCGAGGACGCCCAGCAGCGGAAGAACAGGCAGGATACCGCCGCGTTCGCTATCGGAAGTATCCTCTTACTCTTTAGCTTCTTTGTTTTCAAGCCCATACCCAACTTCGTTTTAGCCTTCATAGCCGCCCAAACAGCTGTGGCGGCGGCTCTCTCTGTGAGAGACGAATCTCTCGCGGTAATGCGTTTCCGCGCCTTTTCAGCGAGTATATTATCAGCCGCGTGCCGTTCAGTGAGACCGTTGTTGTGCGAATTTGCTATATCGTGTTCGCGACACGCCGCACAGTGGTCCGGTTCGAGGAAAAAAGCGCGCATGAGACAAAAATAGTTTTGATGAAGAATCATATTATTATTATGATTTTCAGCAAATAAACATCCTAGATTTTGAGAAACTGATATTTAAAAGCGACAAAGTCACCCTTTCGAATAACATTGGTTCGCTCTTTTAGTCAGTCGCGTGCCGCGAGTCACTGATGATGCGAACCGATACGGAAGGCATTTAAAGTGTTTACACAGTTCTTTAATTTAAAGCGTTTACATAGTTTTTTAATATGTCATCGAACGAGGAAGGTAAGTGCTTTATTTTATTCTAAAACAATTGATAATTTTTGTTATGTAAGTTTAAATATAAAATATAAAATATAACCGATTTTTAACGCTTGCTTTGTAACTTATAATTTTTAAAAATTGCAGAACTTTTGAAGGTTACGTGGGATTACAATGGTCTAAATTTTAGATTTTATTTTAAGTCTTATTAAGTTTATCGCTACTAATATTAGCCGCTGCTTTGCGCAGCCTTCGGCGTAATAAAATTTCAAAGTTGTGCATGCAGTGGTTAGAGAAGCACAAGCGCGCACATACTTTTTTAAGGTTATCCCGTCGCGTCATGATACACTGCATCCAGCATTATATCGAATGTAGTTTTCAATTATATAATATATATTATACTAAATAGAAGTTATACTGTCAATTTTATTTTTTAATATTTTTTATTATTTTAATTTTTAATATATTTTAATATTTACATAAATATAAATAAATAGCAACACAACTTTTTTGTACGTACTTTGTATTTAGCATTTTCATAAATACGTACCATGTTTGTTCACAGTTGATTTCTCAAGGCGTTTTTTGTACCAGACGTTTTTATTATCTAAAAGCTTTGCTGAGGGTACTAAAAAAACAGAGAGCTACATTGTAAATAATCTCGGAAAAATACCTGACGATACTGACATTCCAAGTTTTGTAAAAAATTGGAAGAGTAAGTGGCTTCAGTGTCACCGAATTCGTAGAACGTTCGAGGCAAAACATAAGGATTGGCTCGACGTGTCAGTCATAAAAAATGCATCTCCTACAGTAGAAGTACCTCGAGTTGTAGGCAAAAAATCAGTCAAAGACTTTGACTCCTTGAGTAATTCCCAAAAACGACGGAGAACCAGTAGTATGAATTATATATTATTTGTTTTTCTTCTTAACATTGTAAGCTGCTTAAAGTAAGTAAAGCTTTATTTGAGGTATAGAATGTGTGTGTTAAACATTTTTGTCTATTCTGAGGGAGTTTATATATATTTTAAAACTGTACAAATTGCTCTGAATAACTAAAGCACTGATTCTGATGGCTTATTGCATGTTTAACATGACTTATTATATTCTTGTAATGTTCGAAATGTTACAATATACAAGTTTTAACTTTTACAACTTATTTATTAACTATTTTGTATACTAACGTTATTAATATTTTTTGCATAAATATGTATTATTGCATGGATTTAACATATGTGATGGCATGGTTTTTCAATGGTCTGCAGAATTGCGAAATTTGGATACTAGTGAATTAATGTTCGCATGTGCATCGTCTTTGCGAGCAAATCATAAAAATAATGCCTCAACATTAATTAAAGAGATGCAGTTATCGCCTACAAGGGCATCGAAAATGCTTCAAGCATATAAACAGCCGATCATTCAACCTGGCCAATATACTAATGACGAAGCGCTATCACTGATTGTCGATGGGCAGCTAAAAAAAAGCCAGTATAATATGATAAGGGCAGCATCGAATGATAAAGGTGTTATTTCTTAACAAATTTTAATTTCTGGATTTATTATATATTATATATATAATATAAATCCATAAATAATGTCAGAACTTAATTACTCTGTTATATATGTGAATATCTAATCTTATTATAGGAATAAATTTATATCCTACTTATGGTCACAATATTATCGAGGCTAAAAAACGATGCTATCCAGATAATATACAAGTAACTGAGTTGGAAGCTACTGTCAATTTACAGAGCCTTCTAGATCACACAGTATCTCGTCTACTTCTAACTGTAGAAACAGAGCATATACCACATAAATGTATAGTCTTCTATAAGTGGGGTTTTGACGGCAGTTCGGGACATTCTGAGTACAAACAAATATTTAAATGCACAGAAGGTAGTGATTCGACAGTAGTTACAACAACAATGGTACCAATACGCATAATAGCCGATGATGAAAGTCGTGCTATTATTTGGCAAAATCCAGTACCATCATCAACCAGGTTAGAGATTCTTTTTATAATAATTTAAAAGTATGAATATTAAACCGCTCTTATATATAATATGTTGATCAAAACCGCCTGTATAAATACAAATATTAAAAATATAATTCAGATACTGCCGACCGATAAGAATGGCTTTCGAAAAAGAAAGTAACGAAATGATAAAACGGGAGTACACGCGAGTGATGAATGACATACAAAATTTAGCAGAATGTCTTATTACTATTCATGATACAAACGTAGTAATTCGTCATGAGCTAATTTTAACAATGGTTGATGGAAAAATCATTAATGCCATAGAGGAAAATTTTTCATCGGTAAATTGTAGAGTTTATATAGCACGATTTTGGTAAATTGTAGAGTTTAAATTGCATAAATTCATAAATAAACTTTTCTTTAAAAATTTGAATAATGTAAGTTGATGCAAATTAAAATTAATTTAAATTATGAATTAATTTTATTTTTCGTAAAGAGATTTTAATTGAAAACTTGATTTATTTTTAGAGGTGTTATATCTGTAAATGCGGACCCAAAGATATGAATAAATTGGAAAACATGAAGAAAAATATTGAACATCAAGATCGTGATAAACTCAAATATGGCATTTCACCTTTACACGCGAGAATTAAGTTTTTTGAATGCCTTTTACGTCTCTCTTATAGGTATGCAGACATAAATATTATTATCTTATTGTTATATTAGAACTGATCAGTAAAAATTAAAATTTATCTATATACAAATAATATCAATAATTTTCAGACTTGCTCTTCCACTAAATGTTCAAAAAAAAGGAAGTCGAAAATCAGACGAGCATCATAAAATATTAGAGGAACGAAAGAAAATGATTCAGCGTCAATTTAAAACTAAGATGGGACTTATAGTCGATATGCCAAAGCCAGGTTAATAAATATTACATTGCCTTGAAAATCAAGTTTAATTTTTCTTTCTTTTAAGTACAAATTGTTCATTTTTATGTAGGCTTTGGATCCTCAAATGATGGCAATACTTCGCGGCGATTTTTTGCGAATCCAGAAATGTCATCAGAGATTACTGGAGTTAACGAGACGATTATCAGACGGTTCGGAAATATACTTTCCGTTTTAAATTACACTGAGTCTCTAGACTATACAAAATTCGGTGAGTACGCTCACGAAACAGCAAGACTCTTTGTGGATACATATGAATGGTATGATATGCCACCTACGGTGCATAAAGTTTTAATCCACGGGTCTGAGTTTATCCGATATTCCTTGCTTCCATTAGGTCAGTAATTTAATTTATTATTTTGTAATAATTTTTAATTAACGTGTAATTCTAATCTGTAATGCAATAGTACATTTCAATACGTATTTATAATACTGATTATTTCATTCTTCTGCAGGTCAATTATCTGAAGAAAGCCAAGAAGCGAGAAATAAAGATTTTAAAAATTATAGAGATCGATTTTCTCGAAAATTTTCACGAATAGATACAATGACAGATGTATTTAATCGTTTTTTGCTAACTTCGGATCCATACATAACTCATCTTGGCCGTAGGCGTAATAGTCGAAAACTAAAAAAAAAAATTCCGAAGGAAATCAAAACTTTATTACACGTGTCAAACTTCGATACAGAAGATGACGAAATAGAAGACAAAAGTGAAGACGAAGGCGAAGATGAAAATGAAGGAGAAAAAGAAGATAATTATATCACTTAATATTAAATTATATTATTTTATTGATAACATATTTTATTTATATCATATCATAATAATTAAACAGTTTTAATCATTAACTCATACAATGTTAATGATTAAATATTCAGAAAAAAAACATATTTTGATAGTTAAACCTTTAAACCTTTAAACCTATTTTAAAACA